ACAAATTTTTACTCCTGATTTTTTTCTACAAGTTGTACACCTTTTAAAAAAAATTATCTGAAGACACATACACATGGCAGTGGGGAGAGAACTCCCGTCCACTGGTTTGCTCCCCAAATGCTGGTAAAGGTTGGAGCTGGGCCAAGTTAAAGCTGGGAGCAAGGAATTCTATCTGTTTCCAACATGGGTGGCAAGGATGCAACCGTTTCAGCTATCACCTCTTGTATTCCACGATGCACATTACTTGGAAGCTGCAATCAGCAGCAGAGCCAGGTATAAAACCCAATTAACTACTATAAAGGACGTTGCTGCTAGACCAAACGCATTCCCCTAGAAATTCCATAAATTTTCATACAGCCAAAGGACTCTTGAGTTTTTTTGGTGAGGTGTAAAATATTTGGCAAAATTTGTTTCTTTGACTTTTTGTTTTGCATACGGGTATCCCATTGTTATATCACCATTTGTTCTAAACACTGTTCTTTTCTCCACTGACTTGTATTTGACATTTGTAAAAATCAGTTGGTTATATTTTTATAGAAAGCTTTTACTTAATAAATACAAATTTCATAGGTACAACTTTTGGATTATAGCGGTTCTTCCTCCCATACCTGCCCTCCCATCCCCAAACCATCCCACCTCTTACTCCCTCTCCCATCCCATTCTTTATTAAGATCCATTTCAGTTATCTTTATATACAGAAGATCAACTCTATGCTAAGTAAAAATTTCAATAGTTTACACCCACACAGACACACAAATATAAAATACTGTTTGAATACTAGTTTTACTGTTAATTCTCATAGTACAACTCATTAAGGACAGAGGTCCTACATGGGGAGCAAGTGCACAGTGACTCCTGTTGTTGATTTAGCAATTGACACTCTTATTTATGATGTCAGTGATCACCTGAGGCTCTTGTCATGAGCTGCCAAGGCTATGGAAGCCTCTTAAGTTCACCAACTTCAATCTTATTTAGACAAGGTCAAATTCAAAGTGGAAGTTCTCTCCTCCCTTCAGAGAAAGGTACCTCCTTCTTTGATGGCCCATTCTTTCCACTGGGATCTCACTCACAGAGATCTTTCCTGTTGGTCATTTTTGCCACAGTTTTTTGGCTTTCCATACCTGCAATGCTCTCATTGGCTTTTTAGCCAGATCTGAATGCCTTGAGGGTTGATCTGAGGCCAGAGTACTGCTTAGAGTATTTGTCATTCGATGAGTGTGCTGTGTGGCCTGCTTCCCATGTTTGAACATTCTCTCCTTTTTAATTCTATCTATTATTATTAGCAGACACTTGGTCTTATTTATGTGATTCCTTTGACACTTACTCCTATCTTTATGATCAGTTATGAACTTAAAATGATCACTTTAACTAGTAAGATGGCATTGGTACCTGCCAACTTAATGGGATTTAGAGTCCCATGACAAATTTTTAGTTTTACCCTTAGGGGTAAGTCTGAGGGAATGTGTGCCAAACGGTACATCGTCTCCCTCTCCAGTTGATTATATTTATAAGAGTCTGAATTTGGTCACTGTTTCATTGATCTATTTGTCTATACTTTTAGAACATGGCAGTCTTCATTTCTATAGATATGCAACACAAAATACACTTTTTAGTCTAACTCTCCATTGGATCAGCGCGGTACGCCGGCCGCAGCGCGCCAGCCGCGGCGGCCATTGGAGGGTGAACCACTGGCAAAAAGGAAGACCTTTCTCTCTGTCACTCTCTCTCACTGTCCACTCTGCCTGTCAAAAAAAAAAAAATCCTAAAAATTTTCTTTTAGAATTTCATACTGATATTTAATTTTTACCTATTGCTGAATTTCTTTATTGGAAAGTTAGCCTCCATTATCAAGATGCACTGAGGAAAGTGGAAGCAAGACAAACCACCCTTCACTTCAGGGGATGAGCAGGAACATATTGAAAAAAATTGCAAGCAATGGTAGAGCCATATGGTGGGGGGAAGGGAAGAAGAGGAAAGTTGCCATTGTGGGGCGGTGTGAGAAAAGGAGGTAGGTGTATGTTAGCATGTACAATATGGACAGCAGAGGAATAGCACTGTGATGAAATATTTTACTCCCCTGATATCTTTTCACCTCCAAGGTCAACCTAGTGATGTCTACCATGAAAGTACAGTATGGGTTAATGTAAGACACAAAGGACACAATAATTATTTAGAGTAACATACTAACCAGAGTTATTTTTTCATGCAAAAAAAGACCCACGAAATAGAAAAATGTCTACATTTTAAATGGTGCTTTTTCCATAAACATAGCAACCAGATTGCAGAGCTAAAGTCCTTCTGTTCCAATGATAAACGTCCTTTTAAAAAGATTTTGCTCCCAGATGGCTATTCTATCTCCTCACCTACCCCTCTGAAGAAATAATACTAGCTTCTGATTTTTTTCTGTAACCCAAATATATTTAGCAGACTTTTGCAGCACTTCACACTGGGAGTGTAACTCTGATTCAGGCTGGAGCTGTTTCATCTCATTCAATTTGCATGAGTCGCTCCTTTTTTTTTTTTTTTCATTAATTTTAAGGCAATTTGGAAATAGTTTTGCAATCATTTTCCTTTCATGATAAAAGATTTTATTTTAGTTTTCAAGACAACATTAACAAATGTCCTCTCTTTTTTTCTTTTTCTTTTTCCCTTTTAACTCTATTCTTTTAAACTACAATAACTTGAGTTTAAGCACGGACTCCATTTCTACAGCATTAATGTATTCAATTCCAAACAATTTAGTCTCTGATGAACTTTTCCTCATTTTTTGCGTACTCCTTTAAAAAGACACTGGTTTTTACGATTCTGGAGACTTGCAATTGTTCAATATTAAAATGAATGCATGTTTGATAGCCACTGGTTATGGGCCCTGCTTAAGTGCTCATTCTAAAGCACATGTGTGTGTATAGATGAAGTTGCTTGTATCCTGGCAAGCACAGTAAATACTTAAATTCACTGATTTAAAAACAAACAAAAACAAAAACAAAAAATCCTTGTGCAGACATCATGAAAAGGACAAACAAAACACAGCACTGGGCTATAAACTTCCAGTGGTCTATTTGTTTGTACATCCCATTATCATTAGGATTTTTAAAGTCATGAAAGATACAGTCTACCTGAAAGTTATAATTTAATCATGATACCATTGTTTGGATGGTCTGTCTCTCCACAGGAGTTTTCACTGCTTCTTTTTTCTTAAAATAAGACTGCTTTTAGTTATTTGAAAGGCAACGTTACAGAGAGAAAGAAAGATCTTCCATCTTCTGTTTCACTCCCCAGATGGCTGCAATAACAGGGGCTGAGCCAGGCACCCACATAGGTCACCTGGATTAAGTACAGGGCTCCTTGCTGCCAAGGCTGGAGTTGAGCCGATCTGAAGCCAGGGGCCAGGAGCTTCTTCCAGGTCTCCCAGGTGGGCACAGAGGCCCAAGGACTTGGGCCATCTTCTACTGCTTTCCTAGAGCATCGCAGAGCTGGAAAGAAGAGGAGCAGCCAAGACTCAAAGTTGCAGCTATATGGGATGCCGGCACTGCAGGCAGAGGCTTTACCTGCTAAATCACAGCACCAGCCCCTGTCCTATGTTTCTTTATCAAAAAACACATTTGTAGTTTAGGAGGAATGTACTGATTAACTACCCTAAACAGTACCTTGGGAAGTGACTGTGCTGTTGTGATTCCCGTGCAGATTCTAAATTGTACTCATTGAGCCACAGATTTAAGGAGTTAATTCAATACTAGGACAAACATAATAGCATAAACACACACACACACACGCACACACACACATACACATGCATACACACACACTGATTAATGTTCAACTGGGCATTCCGCTACTGTTTCTAAGATAACTGTAACCAAACTGAAGAATTTTTAGAAGCTCTGATATACCATATCCAACATCAAAGTTAAGTTACTAAATTTCTCTGAAATGTCAATTGTCACATTTTGATTCTGAACTGGAATTCACAGTTGATCCAATCCTTTGCCTATTGGAAAAGGATGTTCCATAGGATTAAATTTAGCAGTGCTAAAATCTTTCCTAGTTTGTAAGATTTCCACAAGCTGTTCTTTAGGCATGTTAGAGTTAGGTCTTCATAATTTTTCATACTAAGCCACTTCATGGAAATTTTCTAATAATTAGAACATGCATTACATTATTGCATAAAGCCTTGTGCAATGCCTTTACCTACCAGTCTTAAAGAAAAATTTGGTTCTTATGACCTGAACTGCAAAATCTTCAATTTTTTAAAAAAAGATTTATTTATTTTAATGGAAGAGTTACAAAGAGTGAGATAGAGACGCTGGTGCTGCGGCTTAGTGGGTTAAGCCTTTGCCTGCAGCATTGGCATTCATATGGGTGCAGGTTCATGTCCCAGCTGCTCCTCTTCTGATCCAGCTCTCTGCTATGACCTGGGAAAGCAGTGGAAGATGGTCCAAGTGCTTGGGCCCCTGCCACCCATGTGGGAGACTCAGAGGAAGCTCCAGGCTTCTGGCTTTGGATCGGCGCAGCTTGGCCGTTGCGGCCATCTGGGGAGTGAACCAGCGGATGGCAGACCTCTTTCTCTGTCTCTACCTCTCTGTAACTCTGCCTTTCAAATAAATAAAATAAATCTTTTAAAAAGGAGTACTAGAGGCAGCATTGTGGCATAGTGGGTCAAACCACCATTCCTAATTGACACTAGTTTGTGTACTGGCTATTCCACTTCCAATCCAGCTCCCTGTTAATGGCCTAGAAAATCAGTAAAAATGTCCAAGTGTTTGAGCCTTTGCCACCCACATGGGAAACCTGCAAAAAGCTCCTGGCTCCTGGCTTTAGCCTGATGTGAACTGGGGAGTGAACCAGAATATGGAAGATCTCTCTCTCTCTCTCTCTCTCTCTCTTTCTTTCAAAACAATTTTTTTGAAAGGAGTATGATGATATGTAATTAAAATGCATCATTGTAAGTCTACTCTAAAACATTAAGAATTCCTAATTTTGTTTTCTCTAAATATTTCTAGGTTACCTTCTTTTTTTATGGAGGAGAGAATACACCATCTTACTTATAAAGCAGAGCACCACGTCATGAACATATATTTTGTGCTTCCTTGACATTAATTGTTATCTAATAAAATGTGAGTTCCAGATACAAGGGTTTTTGTCTTATACATTGTTATATTCCCAAAATACATTGTAGACATTCCAAAAATATTAATCTAATAAATGAATAGTATAATAAAATCTTGATTGTAGTATTTGTAGTATATCCAAGAGTTACTGCAATGAAAACAAAAACATACATAGGTACTTTCTTGTCTAAAATATGTTTGGGTGTCTCAGACAATAGTCCAAGTTGTATTTTCAGTCTAGATCATATCAGGAGAAAAACATACTGGTTGGGACCTCAAACAGTCTCAGAGTGTCCCATGGATTCTCAAAGTTCATCAGAAGCCTGCTGTACACTCAGAACCTGGGCTCAGATCTTGGTAACACAAAAAGTTTAAGTTACCATCTATTTCAAATAGTGGTCCTCAAATTGCCTCAAAGGGATTGAAGTAGTCTGTGCAAAAAGATCCATAGTTGGGGCCGGCACTGTGGAGTAGTGGGCTAAGCCTCTGCCTGAAGGGCCGGCATCCCATATGGGCACGGGTTCAGGTCCTGGCTGTTCCTGTTCTGATACAGCTCTCTGCCATGGACTGCGAAAGCAGTGGAAAATGGCCAAAGTGCGTAGGCCCCTGCACCTGATTGGGAGACCAGGAAGAAACTCCTTGCTCCTGACTTCGGATCGGCCAACCTCTAGCCATGTAAGCCTTTTGGGGAGTGAACCAGCAGATGGAAGAGCTTTCTCTAGATATCTCTGTCTGTAACTCTGCCTCTCTAATAAATTAATAAAAATCTTAAAAAAATTGTAAATGACAGGTTTATCATTATGCTCTTCAACTGTGTTTGTTATTCAGTGTTGTCTAAGAATGTAGTTATATATCACAGTGATGTGGGGTGAATTTAGTCCTTCTTAGATTTTCTATTCATTAAATGGAAATTGTGACTGAATTGCTGCCATCAAAATTTCACTTTTTATTACTATTGGGAACTGGTTCTCCAAAATTTTGCATTTTGATACTGCTCATCTGAGGACCACATTTTGAGAAAATGTGCTCTAGATTATGTGATATTCATCTTATTGTTCAAAGTATTCTTCAAATCAGCTAGCTCTTGTACACAGTAAGTGTGTTCTTGTTAGGGACTATGTGTTATTACTTTTTTAAAATTTCAGCTCTTAACAGATGTGCTGAAACATGATAGATACTGAATAAGTTTTAAGTGAATGAATAAATTGCCTACCTAAACCCTTGTCTGTTATAACATCATTTTAAAGGTGTGTGGTTAATGTTAAAATTGACTTCTGTTATTCACAAATGTGAGAAACCAAGGTTCCCCTCCACTGTGGTTTGCTTGAAGAATGTTCTTCACAGTAGATTCAGCTCATCACCAATTTTATGCCTTTTCTTAAAGATGAACCACCTAGTCTTTAGAAAGATAACTAAAGTTTTAAGATAAAACTCATTAAATCTGCTTTCTCTAGAAACACAGCTCTACATAAGATTATTTAACATTGTATATCTACTCACCATGTCAATTCATCATCTAAAAAATATTGTGTCATCCTTTATTAAATTACATTACTCATATTTCAGCTTGAGCTCATTAGGAAGCAACTATAATATTGAGATCTGCAAGTAGACAATTTATTGCAATCATCACTTGTGTGATGAAAAGAAGCAGTAATGTGTAGAGGACAAGGTAGAAGGCAATGCAGCCTCAGACAAGGTCTTGGCAAAATCCATGTGGAGCCTTAAAGAGGGGTCAATCCCATACCAAGCAGTATTTAGATTTAGGCTGCTTCTATGAAGGGAGAGTTATTTTGGCAAGGCATCACTCCAAAGGCAATTTCCAGAGATCTTGGAATAAATACATTAGTCCCGCCACAAGATTGGGGGACATACTACAGTAGTTATTACATAATTAGTAAGATATAATACCCTTAACTTAAATCAAAGTAGTTACTATTAAATGATGATACTTTAAAATTTTTAATATATTATCTAATTAGTGATTGTTAGCATATAGAGGGGTACTTCAAAAATTCATGGAAAGCAGAAAGAAAAGATAAAAAATTTGCAATGCATGCAAATATTTTCACAATACACATATGCCATGAACTTTTTGAAGACCTCTAGTTGCATGTTTATCTTCAATGTCACATTTTAAATAATCTAAAGGAAAAGGGTACACATTCTATCTCCCTACCACTGTCTTTACAAGAAGTATTATTGTTGATAGGAGACATAAATGATAAAAACTAAAAAACTGTACATTCATTTTAGTCACTCATTGGATGTTAAGAAAATAGCATTGATTTTTATATTTATTAACGTGTACATGTTTATAGTTAAAATGCTAGACATTCTTATACATGTTACTTGATATTATATTGTCTGCCAAATCAGGGATTGTTTTATCTACCATCTGAGTTATATTGGCAATCACATATGAAGAGCCATGTAGGTACCAGATAAATACACAATTTTAAACAAATGCATGCAAAAAGTCTGTTCAAATTTCTCTGCCTTAGTCATATTAGATAAAACTCCAGTGCTTCAAAGAGTAGTGAAGAGTAATCATGTTAGAGAGTAAGAGCTAGAGAACTCAGTAGCCATGCTGTCAAGTCTTACTGTGATCTCATGAGAATGGGGAGGGTGTTGAACTTTTCGTTCCATTTGGTTAACAGTAGGAATAAACAGATTGTCCTCAGGCTGCCTATTTGTGTAATTAGGAAGTACCAAAACAAATACCCCCAAATAGAGGTAGATGTGAACGTACTCCTTAATGTGCCACTTAACTCAGATTCTATTCACTTATATGTATGTGGTTGTTGTGTGTGACCATATATTGAAGACAATGGTGACTATATGGAAATAACTTTAATATATACAGGTGATCAGAAAAATCTATCAATATAAAAAGAATTATTTGGGTGTGTTCTGAATGTTTTAATATATTTTTACTTTTAGTGTCATTCTAAACTAAAACAGATAAAGCAAACATTTCAACTTGGCTAACATGGGCTCATCCCTGTTTGCTTTTTCATTGTGAGGTCACCACCTCATATCCATTCTTGAAGTGTCTGAATAGCTTTCATGTTTATATTTCTTCAGAAGCAACTAGACCCTAATGTCTGGAGATTAGGAAATAAATATAACTTTGGTTATTTTAAAATTTTTATTTCAAGTTACTTTATGCTATCACAACTTGTTATGCTCCAAGCTTTAATTACACTCAACCTTCTACTGCAGTCATACCAAACATTTTCCTTTTGCTCTCTCCTAGCTTTATTTTGGCCTCTAGTATCTCAGTGCTAAAAATGATTCCCGTTGTTGACTTAACAAATTGACACTCTTGTTTATGGCATCAGTAATCACCCTAGGCTCTTGTCATGAGCTGCCAAAGCTATGGAAGCCCCCCGAGTTCACGGACTCTGATCATATTTAGACAAGGCCATGGTCAAAGTGGAAGTTCTCTCCTCCCTTCAGAGAAAGAGCCTAGGGTGATTACTGATGCCATAAACAAGAGTGTCAATTTGTTAAGTCAACAACAGGAGTCACTGTGCACTTAATCCTCATGTAGGATCTTTGTCCTTAGTGTGCTGTACATTGAGATTTAATGCTATAACTAGTACTCAAACAGTATTTTTCACTTTATGTTTCTGTGTGGGAGCAAACTGTTGAAATCTTTACTTAATGTATGCTAAACTGATCTTCTGTATATAAAGAGAATCAAAAATGAATCTTGATGTGAATGGAAGGGGAGAGGGAGTGGGAAAGGGGAGGGTTGCGGGTGGGAGGGACGTTATGGGGGGGAAGCCATTGTAACCCAGAAGCTGTACTTTGGAAATTTATATTCATTAAATAAAAGTTAAAAAAAAAGAAGAAAAAATGATTCCCTTACTTTTTCCCTACCTGATTGAATGATGATTCATACCTCAAACCTAACCAAGTTGTTATTTTCTCAGTGTGATATCCTTGCCTCATTGTGTCTTTGTATCTACACCCTCCACTGTACTGCCATGACATTCTGTACTTGTAATATGTACTTGCCTTGTTTTCCCAGTACTATGTGATCCTCAGTATCAGGACTTTATGTTATTCTTTTTTGGATCTCAAAGACCTATTCCTGCTGTCATCATATAAAAATGCTGTGGTATCTACTGAATTGTGAAAATCCAAAACACTGATTGATATATTTTGATAATTTAGCCTGTACATATTCCTAAGCACCATAATTATATATTTATTTTTGACAAAAAAATTCTGTTGCAGCTATACTATATGTGTCTCTGTCGGGAAAAGAGCAAATATATTAGGAGGCAGTAACAGAAAATTGTAGAAGAATAATGACTTGAAATTAAAATAAGTTAGTTAGAGGTTGGGTTGCAGTAACGATTCAACAGATATTCCATCTACCCTTGGTACATCCAAGGCATTGTTCTCATTGCTAGTAGGACTTAGTCTCTGCCTTCAATATGTTTGTAGAGAACTAACAGAAAATCAAACCAGGCTTCTCAAGTAAAATAAAGCTTTTTTTTTTTTTTTTTACAAAAAAAGGCCTAACATTAAATGTAATGCAAAATGATGTGAAAACCTTTTGGAAACAAGCAATAATTTACTTTATCTCAGTTTATGAAAGATATTAGAAGTTAAGTATTTGAAATGTTAAGTGAATGGGTAGTTTTCACAATTTTAATTTTACTACAATTAGCAGATAAGGCTTCATATATTTATGTCAAGATGATAACAGGTTAATGGTAAAAGATTATTTGATATCTAACCCAGTCAAGTCAAATAAAAATATATAGATTCTCATGACTGCATTTCTAAATATGTGGCAGAGTATTACTGTACTCAGCATTAATTTTTTTTTTGATTTTTCAGAAAAACAAACAAGTAGCAGGCTATTCTAGACATAAGTACATTTTTTCAGTTCCTTTTGAAACAAGGGTTTAATTATGAGGAGATAACCAGAGTGCTATCACCTGAATTCAAATTAATATTTGATTAGATTTCACAACACAGCATGGAGCTATAACTGGAATGAACAGTTTGATGAAATTAAAATTACTTAGTAATAGATATTAGGCTAAGTAACTACTAAATTGCTTATTTCTCAGGGTATAATAGCAAGTGCCAGAGGAATAGTGTAGATTTTCTTCAATTGCAAACCTGGAAGACTTTCACAGATTTGGGCTTTGTGGCCGAACAATTCTTAATCTAAAAGTATATTGGTTTTGGCCCTTAGACCAGCGAGTAGAATTTGAAAATTTCTGCAATTCGCTGATGAAACTGAAAATACAAATAGCTAATGTTCCTGATTTCTGTTTCTAAAAGCCACAGGCAGGAAGCAATATTTAAATTAGATATGGGTTAAAGAAAAACAAAACAGAAGTAGGGCCTCCAGCAGTTGTAAGCATGAAAGAAACACACACAGGGGGGATCATCTGGAAAAGAACTGTCCTGGGGCAGAAGGAAGAATTTCTCAAGAGAGATCATAATGGGCATCTGCAGAGGAAAGCAGAGCTGAACAACGGAAAAGGAGGCCAGGGTTGCTGTTCAATAGCAATTCAACTTGTTAGTTGCTACTTTAACACAATGTACTGTTGCTATAATGATATAAAATCGTATCATCCCCTCTTTCAGAAATGTGCTTACAAGAGAGTCCAGGCTGCTGAAATGTAACAGAGAATATGGGGAGTGCACCAACAAAATTACAATGTATAATGCATTTTAAAAAATAGAGCTGTATTGTGTTCAATAAGGGAAGAAGATAAGTAAATCTTTTACGGAGGGAGTTAACTTGTAGATTCTCTCTGCAGCACCAACTCAGAATTCGGTGGTGCTGAATGGAATAGGGGCCAGGAACAAGTCATCTGGCTGGCACAGGCACTTTGGTTGATGAGGATGGAAGCAGTCCTAGGAAGTTACCTGGAGAACCAGGTTTTGATCTTCACACTGCCAACTATCTACTGAATTATACATAAGTCGCTTAGCCCTTCGAGACACAGTTTTCTTAGCTACATGTAGAGGGAATTGAACTAGATCATCATCAAGGTCATGCCGGTTCTGAAATGCTCTGATCTAAAAAGAATACATTGGTTCCTCTTTTGAATGGCCTAGCTTGCTAACTTGAGAAATTTCTTTTTATTCATGTTTGGAGCAAGGTAATATGATTAAAGTTTTACACTGGGAAGATTGGTCTAAGGGAAATACACAGGATTAACACTTGTAGGAAACTCACTTAAAGGCTCCTAATGTTCCTGGGTAAGAGGTAATGAGGGACTGGCAGAGAGAATATATTAGAGCAGCTGAATCCATAGCTATGCTAACTATTAATCAATACCAATGGGAGAGGAAAGAGAAATGGAAAAAATGTATACAGCTTCCAGCCATAATATCTGAGAGAATTTTTGCCAGAACAAGCCAGGGAGAGTTTTACACATAAAGACCAATGGAAGATGTTTAGAATGAAGCTGTCCAACTGCCAGCTGGAAATTCAGGCTTAGAGCTCTAGCTCTCAAGGTCTGGATTAGAACAGGGCTTCCAAATTCAAATGCTTACAGGACCACTGAAGTCACAGAACGCATCGGAAACAGTAAAGTCAGAGTGAATGTGACACACTGGCAAAGAGGCCTTTCTAAAGGAGCGAACTGCCACTCGGCTTCAGAACATTGGTGTCCTTATAACTGCAGACCCTGCTTTTCTAAGGAAAGTCAGATACGTAGATTGTTTCCCAGTTCTCAATCGTTGGTAAAGAAACTAACTGAGCCAAACTAATTCACTGTGGACAAATAGAAAAAATATGACCGTAATCCACATTTGGTCTGCAGCCTGCTGGATGTGATTTTGGAAACTCTATACCTTTCAGCTTTAGTGGAGAGACAACAAAAATAAAAATTGTATGAAATATACAAATCTTCAAATAGACAAATGTTTTAAATTTAAAAAGTCAAGAAGAGATTCTCAAAGGATTTTTATATTTAAAATGTCAAGAAAAAGAAAAAGATGGTGTCTCTATACAGTGAGGTTGGCAGAAAATTAAAAAAAAAAAAAAACTATGAAGACATTACTCAATGAGCAATGGAATTGTAAGCGAAGAGGATAGCCATTAGTGTCTACCAATATGTAAAAAGATACCAAGCAGAAGAAACACAGTAGGATGACAGGCTAATGAGATGAGAAAGGGTGGTAATTACCTTGAGTGTATCACTACAAAACATATTTTTCCAATATGTTTTCTTTTCTTTTTTTTTTCTTTTTGGACAGGTAGAGTCATAGATAGTGAGAGAGAGAGAGAGAAAGGTCTTCCTTTCTGTTGGTTCACCCTCCAAATGGCCACCATGGCAGGTGCTGCGTGTGATCCGAAGCCAGGAGCCAGGTGCTTCTCCTGGTCTCCCATGCGGGTGCAGGGCCCAAGCACTTGGGCCATCCTCCACTGCCTTCCCGGCCCACAGCAGAGAGCTGGACTGGAAGAAGAGCAACCGGGACTAGAACCTGGAGCCCATATGGGATGCCGGTGCCACAGGCAGAGGATTAACCAAGTGAGCCACAGTGCCGGCCCTTCAATATGTTTTCAAAAACATGCATTTATGCTGAAGCTACTTAGAAATTGAATATTGTGTTTGAAATCTCCACTTTTTTGGTTAACACCTGGAGAAGTTTATGGTAACTGTTTATGGTTGACAGAAAAACATTAGAAAACTTTGAGGGCATTACTGAAAGAGCAATGGAATTGTAATAAAAGAGGGTAGTCACAGTGGCTGCCGATAGGAAGAATTAACAATTACCCAGTAGAAGACACATAGGGGGCTGAGAGGCTAATGAAACAAGAGCAGGTGGTAATTATTTTGAGTGTATCATTACAAAACATATTATTTATTATATATTTTCAAAAATCTACACTTATGCCAAACCTACTTAGAAACTGAGTAGTGTGTTTCATATCTCTGCTTTTTTGTGTGCACTAACACCTGGAGATGTTCATAGCAACCATGAACTTAACAGCCATTACAACTTCTAGAAACAAAGACTCAAAAGGTAATTGAGTACTTACTTATATCATTAGTCCACAGTCATAGTATTATTAAAACAAATACAAAAGAAGATAGAATAGCAGACATTTAGCATAGCAGTGAAAATTCTGCTTGGGACACCCACATTGCATATCATGATGTCTGGGTTTAAGTTCTGGGTCCACTTCTAATTCTAGCTTTCTACTAGTGTGCAACCTGGATGGTAGCAGATCGATGTCTTAAGTATTTGGGTTCCTGCCACCCATGTGGGAGAACTGAATTAAATTCCCAGCTCCCAACTTCAGCCTGTTTCTGCCCTGACTGTTGCGGGCATTTAGGGAGTGAAACAGTAGACAGAAATTCTCCCTAACTCCCCACCTCCACCCTCACTGCCTCTCTCTGTGACCTTTAAATAAACGAGAAGAAATTAGAAAATGAGTTTTATTTAATGATTAGAAGATATTTTAACATGTTCTCCAAACCATGATTTATTCTCTGGCTTTGAGAATGCATTAGGAGAGCAAGTGGCTGAATTGTGCTGGACACTGTCCAGACTCCTCTGGTAAGAAATCAAGAGTTTTAACTGTTGATAAGGCTTATGTTATCCATGAAAAGAAACAGCTCCTTGAACAGATGGTTGACTGCAAGATTTTACCACATTTCTCAAATATTCTTTGTAAACCACCAGAAGCCTCATTTAATTCCGTCTATGAGGATGGAGCAATGAGTGGATGATGAATCA